ATTATGTGCGTGTTCACAGCCTAAATGTATTGTGCTTTATCTCTTGAAATTTTGGATGACTCTTTCGGGCAGATTATTATTTTTTTCGTCACATGGCTGCCCAAAATTAGAGCCTGGAGTATGCATACTGTGCAGTATGTATTAACTTGAATTTTTTATATCGATATTTTTGAAATGGAATCCTGAGAACCTCGAAAATAAGTTCCACGAGAAGTAAATAACTTATGGTCGAATATAGAGGCAACGAGATGCGGACGTTGGACCTTGTCCCTGATTCGGAGCGTCCGCATGTCGGATCAGGTTTTTCCATGAACTCCTGTGGGAACTTAACTTGATTGGTTTAACCAGTTCATCAAAAATTAGGATTAAGTCCTATACAAAATGAATGAAATTTTTTCTCAATCTCGAGATACAGAAAATAAAAGAATAGCAGAAGAAAACCACAGAAAATCTGATTTTTTGGCATCAAAAATATTACAAGAAGCGAAGACAAGTCTTGTAATACTGTGCGCAGGAAAAAAAAAACTCCGAAAAAAGAAGCACAACTAGCGTGTTCTAACCGGAACTTGAGTACATTTATAACGAAATTGATTTTTGTGATCGTCAAGGAAATCCGTTTGTTCACGAGATAACGAAATTTGAAAAAAGTTCCCTTTTTTCTAGAAATGTTGGAAAAGTGTCCGTCGTATATCGAGACATTGTTCAGATGTCGGGGCAGATTTTTGCCTCAAGTTTCTCTTATTCCAGTCGTCCGTATGTCGGCGTCCTCATTCTATTTTGCGTGGCTTCGGATTGTTTGACCCCGAGCCTCGCTTGGAAGTCGCATTCCTGAAAACGGAGACTCGTATATTTTTCTGGGTAAGCACGAAGCTACTGCTCTTTTCTTTCCACCCAGAGGTGTTCATTTCGAGTTGAAGAATTCGTCGTTGACTCACGTGAGAGGAATATTTGTGATGGGATAGCCGTATATCGACCAACGGACCGTGAATGTATTTACGGGATTTCTGTGGCCATGTGTTTGCCGAAGACTTTCGCACACTTTATCGCCGAATGCCAGACGGAAGACCTGGGCAGAGGAGATATACTCCTATAGCCCCGAGGGCTGCCGGAAGTATCCGGCCGTGCATGAATATTAATTGATTTTGGCGCATCCGAGCGATTAAAGTCTGTGGAATCGCGCGAATGCTGCGGCTGTGTATTTGATTTTTTTTTTTTTTGGGTCGAAAAGCTGTCAAATTCGCAGCTTTGCTGTGGTAATCTCGAGAGCAGTTCCTTATTTTTATGAAGGGCCCCGTTTATGCGATGATGAACGTAACGTTTTATGGTGAGCTGCTTATGGGTTGTTCCAATTTTTCGATAGAATGAGGCTATTCGTCTTGTTTTTGTTTGGAAAGCTGTTGAAATTTGCATCATTGATGTACAGTATTAGGTTTCGAGAACTGTTCTCTGTTTTTCATGTAGGGTCCCGTTTATGTAATAAAAAATATCACATGCAATTCGACCCTTTATAAGTCTAATTTCAAGGGACCAGCAAAAAAAATTCGACTTGGGAAGGTTTCGAGTTGGGGAAAAAAGCATTTTGGCTGTGGGAAACGCAGAAGAATTGCAGGAAATTGTAAATGTTGATATTCTGGGCCTTAAATTTGTTCTTGAACGAGTTTACATCATGCTGAACTTGGTGGTAGGGTTTAATTTCCCTATCAGTCTGTCACTTCCTTTCAAAACAAATCTCCTTGTTTTATTGCTTTTCTCTTATATGTGTCAAAAAGTCGATAGCCAAAAGGCCTCGGAAAATTTGACTAACCGAGGTTTGTGAGGAAAAGCCTTCGAGTTAGGGAGAATTTTAATGCATTTTCTCTAATTCAGAGGATTCTAATTCAGGGAATTCAGAGGGGGACTTGAAAAACATACGACTTGGGAAGGTTCAACGCATAGTGTGCTGCTGATGTGTTTTTGTTTTAAATTTTTTCGACAGAAGAGGCTCCTCGTCATTTCTTGTGGTTGAAAAGCTGTCAAATATTGTTCATTGCTTTATGAGGTCTCGAAAACTGTTATTTTTTTATGGAGTGCCCCGTTTACGCAATAAAGCGCATCACATTCATGGTGTGCTGCTCATGGGTTGTTCTAATTTTTTTTTTCGATGGAAAAAAGGCTCCTCATCATTTTTCGAGGTTGAAAAGCTGTCAAATTTGCATCATGGCTGTGTGAGGTCTCGGAAGCTGTTGATATTCTTCATGTAGAGCCCCGTTGATCAGGTTTCGAAAACTGTTTGAGGTTGAAAAGCTGTCAAATTTGCATCATGGCTGTGTGAGGTCTCGAAAGCTGTTATTTTTTCATTTAGAGCCCCGTTGATGCTTTGAGGAATACTTTATCACATTCATGGTGAGCTGCTGTATATCACTTGTTTTGATAGAATGAGGGCCCTACGTCATGTTCTTTTAAGCGAGGGAAATGCTTCTTGCGAAACCGGAACTGGTTCAGAAGTTAAATTAGGTACCACTACATGGGTGATTGCTGGTCATCTATTCCGCACATCCGCTACTGCTACTTGAAGGATGAGTGGTAGCAGAAAGGAGGAAAATAATCAGTGGTTTCAGGTAGGGGCAGTGCGAGAAGTAAGTACAGTAATTGGTTAGTAACAGTGTTGAATTTCATAAGTTGTAGTAGTTTTTTCCAGTTAGGATAAATCACCTGTATTGAAAAACTTTCTGTTCAAAATACAAGTATTTTGAAGGTATGTGTATCGGAGTAAAAGAAGGTAAAATATCGGGAGTTTTTATCCGAAATGAAACTGAAGTTGCTTTTGAACCTTATCTTCATATTTTACTCAGCATTATTACTTCTGGTTACCACAGTATCGTGTTTTGAACCATCCCGTGCGAAGTTGTTGAGAATGAGTAGTTTGAATGAGTCGACATTCATTAGGAAAGTAGCACTCAAGGCACAGCATGTAGTGGATACTGTATATAACTTCGGTCATCAGAGTTGATTCATTGACTGCGCAAACTTTCAAGCCAAATTTTTTTTATCTTACTTTTATTGAGTATGCGCCAAAGTGCTAAACGCTAATGGACGTGAACGGTGTGCAAGTTTTCCTTTTTTTTTAAATTGCATGACAAGTTCGGTACGAACCCACGATTCGCACCGAACCGCGAAGTCCGGCCTTATTGCGCATGGTGCAGTATACTATACGGCATCAAAAACAATATTTTGCACCCAAAAAAAAAAACCGGGTGTACCTTCGTAGATAAAGGATTAAAACTGATTTTTTTTCCGCAATTTTTGCTCGTCGACGAGGAAGAAAATCTGGATGTTACAGATTTCAGCACCTCTCGTGCGGGTGCATCAATCGTGTGCCTCCCCGGGCATTTGTCCTGCATTGAACCCCCCGTCCGACTTCCCGGTCGGGTCCTTTGATGTCGGCTGGAGGCCGACGGGCCCTCGCTCCCCCCCCCCCCCCCCCCCCCCCCCCCCCCCGCCCGTCGTCTTCACGCGCTATNGCCCCCCCCCCCCCCCCCCCCCCCCCCCGGGAACTCGAGAGGTTTTTCTGGAACCCGGTGCTGGTAGTGGCGGAATCTGGACGCAACTGGTGACCCTCGCGGCTTATATTGTTGCCTCATCCCCTGTACCTCGACTGCCACATTATGTCCCGTTCCTATATACGCCCCGTCGAAGATTGGCACGGTTGTCCGATCCACCTCCGACGTGGGGGTGGGAAGAAGAAAAGGGAAAATATATGAAGATAGTTTTTCTTCTTCTTCTTCTTTGGGAAGGTCCGGGGCCCCGTGGTCCATACGGTTCCTGCCCCCTGTCGACTGCCGGAAGTTGAGAGCTAAAGGGATAATGCCAGGTTTTTAAGAAGGGAGCGGCGACGACGACGACGACGTTGTCAGCTTTCCAAAGCGCGCGGAATTTTTATTCCTTGTGTCACGTGGGAAAATGGGGTTTGTGAGAACGTGACGCGGTCCAGCGGGTCGTCATCCACCGTGAACCAAACTGCTCTGGATCTGGGCGCACAGACTAAACGTTTTTACCTTTTTCCCTTTAACCGCAGGTTAAAGTACAGAATGTTAGCGCGAATAGCGGAGATCCCTGGAAAAAAAAAGGAATGAAGGCGATTTTTTCTGAAGCGAGGACTCACTTTCGTAACCGTATTGACGGGAGTACACTTTTTTTTCTGCAAAAACGAGGCAGGAAAGTGTGGGGTTCGCGTGGTATGGGGGAATGCATTTTTTGAAGCTAAACAATTATGCAACCAGGGATGTTGGCCGTAAAAAGTTTCTCTCTGCGTGTGAAAACATTCACCGGAATTTGATTTTGCTCCAATGCTGCTACCGTACTTCACATTCATTTACGGAATTTACTCGTGAAACATTGTTATAGGTGGATCATCTCTCTCTCTCTCTCTACAACGAAATTTAGGGGACCAGAAAAAATCATTGCGGAGATAATTTCGTTATTTAGAGAATCCTGGCCTTTGCAATAGGTGCGAGATCCCTATGGGACCGCTAAAAATCCTTCGTACAGAAACAGAAGAGAGAAAAAATCGTTGTAGATGAGTTCGTTTTAGAGCTGTGTTCCTAACCTTTTTAGGGCCGCGGCCCGACTTATTTCCATGGCAGTTTTGCTGACCATCAAAGCTTTTTTAAATACTGTACCTGCCATGAAGTCCTCCAAGCAAAACTTTTATTTCAAAAATTTAGTCATGAACTAATGAAGCAGCTTTTGTGGAATTTCGTCCAGAATTAGGAAAGTGGGCTTGAAGAAAGGTTTCTCAGAATGAATTTTTACAGTAGTTCATTTCAGCAGGTGGAAATTTGTCTGAAGTTTTATAAAGAGAAAAGCCATCTTTTAATTTGCATTGCATAATTTCAACTGCCGTTTGTCTTACCTAAGTTCCAGATGAAGATAAAATACCTCATTACTTCCTTTGATTCATTTATTCTGCCAAAGCAAATTTCCCGTGGACCGACGAAACACTTCTGCAGACCACGGGAGGCATGCCACTACTGGTCTCTAGGTATTGTAATTTGTGCCGTATTGAACCAACCATGAGGAAGACTCGTACTGAATCTGCGTAGTTTTTCGTTTCTCAGAATCATTCACGCAGATAATGATTCCTCTTTTTTTTCCGGTCATTTTACAGGTTCTACTTGCATCGCGACGATTTGATCCAGGCCGTCAAGTACATGAACCTGCTGAAAGGGGCCCCTCGCCACGTGGCGTCTGACTGGTTGAACGAGGCCCGGTTGCACCTGGAGACGCGTCAGGCGGCCGACGCCCTTTTAGCACACGCTGCCGGCATCGGCTGCAAGGAGTGGAAGGACTATTTGCACGCCCAGGAGAAGACGCTCAATCTGCTGGCCGAAGAAACTGGGATTGCCGTTGCGAACGCTTCCTCCACTGATGTGGCCAACAACAACAACATACCTGCCACTGTTGCAGGTTGATCATGGTATGGGGGGAAACAAAAAGCCGAGAAGAGGGGCAGAAGGAAGCCTCTTCGCGTGTGTCGTCTTCGTCGATTAAATCCCGTATTATCATCATCCTCCCTCTCCCTGTTTTCGTTTTGAAATTGAGTTCTGTCTTTGGCTGAAATTAGTCGAATCGTTGTTAAAGATGTTTAAATACCGGCGGAATGTTTTTTTTTTTTTAGTCTATATCCATCGATGAGAAGGAGGTGTTCATTCGCTGTGTGCAATGGGTTGGCTCGCGTAGGGTTAATGGATTCGGCTTGAAATTAATCGTGCGAGACGCTCAATCTTTGATTTTCAAAGTTTCCATTTTGACTCGGCAATGATTTGACGACTCGATTTGAAGTGTAGTCTGGTTAAGTACCTGTTCTTTACAGTGGGATTAAAGTTTATCTGCGGTTATGAGTGAAAAATTTCTCGATAGACTCCTTCCAGAGACTTCTCGTGAAAACCGCAGACCATTTTCTGAACGTGTTGATATTCTTCGGAAAAGTTTTTAAATTTCCTGATAACGTTACTGTGGTAGCTTTGATTGTTGAAATTTGATGCCGGAGACTCTACGAATACCGCTCAAATTATATACTTTTCTTGCCACGATTCTCTCCCTCCACTACGAATTCCGTTTCTGTTCTACATCTGTTTTTCCCCGTTCATCCTTGAACCGTCATTGAAATTTATCTCACGGTTGTTCACCTCGTGGGTGATACAAAATTGTGTAGGAAGATTAGGTGTTGTGGGTTTTACGGAGGGCGATTGATTGTTTTACGAGGTTTTATTTTTCCGGAGTTCGCATCGGTAGTGATAAAATCGCATCGCTGACGCGCGAGCGGTGAAGTGGCAAGATGTTGAAAATGCATCGAAAGTTCATGAATGATTTTCTGTGTATGAGTTATTTATTTGAGTTTTAATTTTCTTATTTGGTGAACTTGTTTCCTTTTTTTTTCCGTGGAGGTAATTCCGGTTTGGATTTCAATGCCGGAGTTTCTGCGACTGTACTGGATTATTTTCTTGAAGGCTCGTCGAAATCGAAGAGAACATTTTTCTGTTAGAAAAGAAGACGGTAGTCGAATGTGACGTACGTATTCAAGCTGTCGGATCTAGAGAAAAAGATGAAGAAGGGAAGTCGGATCGGATTCTCGTGAGGAGTCTGATCTCTGGTGTACTTCACTGAAATCCCGAGCGAGTTGAACCGTATTCTCAGAATTCTCAACTCAAATGCACTAAAACAGCATCTGGCTGGGAATATAAATTTATTTTTGCTTCAATTCGGTATTAAATTCCTGTAGTCATTAAATGAATTGTGAACTAGAATGTGTGACTATGAACTGCACATGTCCCCTTACCTAACTTGATCAAATGTGGGAGATATCGCTGTGATTTCAGAGAAAACGGAAGTACTTTCCTTTTTGATTTTGAGAATCGAAAGGGAATGATTGTGCATTGTGTTCCATGAATTAGATCCCGTGATTCACCAGCAAGCAGTATGATGAATCAATTTCTGTGCAGGAAATGTTTCCGTCAACAATAATCTGCCGTATGCGTAAAAAATTCGAGTCATCTCTACATCTTGAACATTGAATATTTTGAATAGCAAACCACTTGGAACGAAATGATGTTGCAGGTTCTCTGTAAAAAAAAAAGAAATGCATAAAAGCAGAAGCTTGTATCTCTTAGGTATTGTCGCCAAAAATTACCGCGAGTAGTAAGAGGGTGCAGCATATAATGGCGCATTTGCGACGTACAGGTAGTACGGTACTGTACTTCTGTTTTCTGGAATATTTTTCGTGTGATGTTTCGCCTTGCAGTTGCAGCTCATCCTCTTCCGCCATTTGCGTGATTGGAAATCCCCATTTCCTTTCCACCGCGCAAAACGAACAAGAGCTCTCATGTATATTGCGCCATTTTTTTGTGATGCACAGCTTATAATATGGTTAAGTAAAATACGACGAACTCCGAGGGACCTGCTAGAAATCCATCATGAAAAATCGTCTGAAGGTTCGTGGTTTTACAAAAATTTGCCGTGTTTACTCAAGCTCCAGCATGGCAGTGTACAACTCGCACTTTTTTTCTGCCAAACGAGGAAGAAAATCGGGTTGCGCGTCTTATGTGCGGGGACACATTTTTGGATAAATTGTATGCCAAAAAACAGGTGCGCATAATATTCAAGGGCATGTTGTACTTGATTTTGAGTACGGCATAGATGTTTTGTTGAAAATAGGTGTTGAACATTTTAAGGTGCTTTTGAACCCATGAATTGAAAAGTTATTGTTCTAATTGATGAAATCAAAAAGGAACACAGCACGTTTTGGGATATCCCATGTACAAAGTACAGTACATATAAAGCACTTTACTTTTATGAACATTTTTCCTTCAAATTCAAGGCTATATGTCGTCACAAATTCTCTTGATGTAATCAGCTGATATTTTGAGAACTGGGAAAATTTGACTGAAAGCTTCTATTGATTTTGATATACAGTACAGTGAGACCCCCACATGCAGACACCTTGACATGCGGACAATGTGACATAGGGACACTTATTTTCACAGAAAAATTAATAAAAAAGGCCTGACTTGAGCAAACTGACTTGACATAGGTACATTTTGTGATAAAATTGCAAATAAGTTTCAGGCCCATTTACAAGAAACAGATATTTCCAACTCTAAACTGATGTAAGAAAAGTTCTTGGGCATTTCTCTCACCAAATTAACATCCATTTAGCTAATTTTAAAAATTACTTTAAGCATAGAGGATTTCCTTTCTCTCTTTTTCACTTTAATGTTATTTCTACAGAGAATGCCAACATTTCTTTGTACTGTACAGAGGTATCACGTATCAGTATTCAAATCCCCAAATGTCCATATTGTGTTAAAATATATTGATGAAATCAGTTTCAATTGAGTGATAATTTTTTTTTTCATGTCTGCTGTATGCTGGAAGATATTTTCCTGCCATGATTGCTGCAGGAAATTCTCATGGACCATTAATTTATTGAAGAGCATATGTATTTCTATTAGTTTATATATGACTCCATACAGAGA